GTAACACCTGAATGTATGAATAACTTTTTACTTGCATTTTCTTCTTGTGAATAAAATCTTAGTGACAATATTGAAACGTGGTAACATCCCAATCGTAACTTCAAATCATTCAATCGATATGGGGAGTGACAGAATCGACAAGGTGAACAATAGTCAAACGATGCTACGGTGGATAGGTACGTATAAACCTTGGACCTTACTCTCAAAGCACGAAATCCGTATTTACGGCCGTTTTTCCACTATGGATAAACCAGACTTGCGTTTCGATCGGGGCGAGAACTAAGCATGTATAGCAACGCGATTTGACAGATTCGAACGGGCCTTTTGACAGTTCCGAACGGGGCTATTGACAGTTTCCAACGGGCCGTTTGAAAGTTTCGAACGGGCCGTTTGACAGTTTCAAACGGGCCGTTGCAAGTTTCGAACGGGCCGTTTGACAGTTTCAAACGGGCCGTTGCAAGTTTCGAACGGGCCGTTTGACAGTTCCGAACGGGCCTATTGACAGTTTCCAACGGGCTGTTTGACAGTTACCAACGGGGCGTTTGACAGTTTCCAACCGGGCGTTTGACAGTTTCCAACGGGGCGTTTGACAGTTCCGAACGGGCCGTTTGAAAGTTTTCAACGGGGCGTTTGAAAGTTTCCAACGGGGCGTTTGACAGTTTCCAACGGGGCGTTTGACAGTTTCCAACGGGCCGTTTGAAACTTTCTAACGGGCCCATCTTATCGTTGACGGACTTTAAGAGTGGTTCCGTAGGATGTCATTCATGGAAAAATGGTCGTAACTACGCGTTTCGTGGTTTGAGAGTTTATGAGATGGTGCCGTGGATGACGTATTAATTCAGCTCACTTGACTAGGACTGCAGACACTGTGCTCCGTGAGAGTGCAGGGCTTGTAATGTGGTCTGGCGGCCTGCGGGCGGCAGCACACGTCGGTACACTCCGCTGCCCAGCCGCAGTCGCACTCCTCGCCTTCCTCCACGACGCCGTTGCCGCAGATCGCGGGTTGGGGCTCTACAAGTTTAAAGAATATGGTTTGACGGTATCAAGAAGAGGATCAAACTTAAATCACCTTTATTTTATAGGTAAGCAAATTACACTAGAAATCGTCATATTGATTAAGCTCTACTGCTCATTCGTAAGGCGGATTCCCCCGGGAAGAATGAGCAAGAAACTCTAGGCGTTGCTCTTTGTAAATATACATTTGAATACATTTATCATTTGCAATATTTATTTCAAACATCTTAGATCGAGAATACCTGCAAGAGCTAAAGGTGTCACTACCACGTATTTTTGTCGCAGCAGAGTAGTAGAGTTTAATTAACGTGAAATTCAAGAGTAATTTACTTATCTATGAAATAAAGGTGATTTGAATTTTTGAATTTTTTTAGAGCTAAATCGTAAACACGTAGACAATACCACAATACACGTCACCCAGAGACATAAGTTCCATGTGCCTGTAATTTCATCAGCACCCGTACTCTTCAGAACCGGAACGCAGTAATGCTCGCTTGGCGGCAGAAATAGATCAGTTAGTAGTACTTCCCTGGACGTACTCTTTCACAAGGAAACGTACTATTACTTAAACATATTCTACACTGTCGAGAATAAAACATTTAGCCCTTTGTAACACTTTTCTTATTTGCGGGTTCATAGAATCGGGGGTCTATTACTCGCGGATTTCTCGTTGTGAGTTTGCATTGCTCGGCCTCAACTTGTTTAAATTTTGCCTCGTATTGTGAATGCGCCGTCATCTCGTTGGGTCAATATCCTTATTACAATAACAGAAATGATGAAATTACAGAAGTAATGCCACTTGTATAAAGCGCTTACCCGTGAAGCATCCCTTCGAGGACCGAGCTTTGTTGTTGAGGACAGGGTCGATGGCTCGCAAGGAACACGGGGAAAACTTGTTGTTATTCTTTCTGTCGCCGCTAGTGGCGCGCGCGAACATAATGTAATTACCGTCCTCGCCGAACGGTGTGCACACTTCGGGGTCGTGCTGGAAGTAAGCGAATATGGAAGCACACACTGAGTTATCAGCAGGGATCGAAATAGGTAGAGTTTTTTTACTTAAATTTCGAGGAACATAGACAGAAAATGGAGGCTGCCTTACGACAATATTTTTCAGGTCCTGGACCTGTTCGGGATTCGGGAAATCAATTAAGTACATAAAAAATTTACACAGTCGTATATATGAGCAATTTTTGCACATTTTCTGACGCGTATAAGTAGTGAATAGGCAGTTTGGGCTCGCGTTTAATGTTCAAATCTATAGAAGATAGGTCTGATAATACGTCTGTAGTGATTCCAAGACTGGATCGACTAAGACTTTGTCACAATGGGGCATTAAAAGTATGGTTCCATACAAAAAATACACATTTTATTTTTTCCTTAAACTATTAGATTTATGACAAACTGTGATATGACAGAATTTAATTAGGACAATAGGATCTCTCGACTGGCATTTTTTTAGAGGGGTATCGTGAAAAAAAATCCAATGTCCGCAATATCAGAGATCCGACACACTGTGGGTCGCAAAGTTAAGATAACTATAGTGTACCTGCCTGTCCCCAATTGCGTCAATTTTTAATGTTCTTAAGTGTTTTCCCGAATCCCAAAAAGGTCCTGAACATAAAAAATATTATCGTAACACAGTTTCCACTTTCTATCTATATTCCTCGAAGTTTAGGTATAAAAACTCTACCTATTCCGATCCCAGATTATCAGGGATATTAAATAAAAACTGTACCTCCCAGATAGGTAGAAGAAATAGAGGGATCACAAAACAATTTTTATTTTCGGTATTAGAATGAAATTGATTATGTATAGATACGAGGATGATAAGCAAATTCTGCATAACATCTATTGTGGTAAAATACGTTTTGAGTTAAGAAATACCATCCAGCACTACATACCAGCCCTGCACTAAGGAAGCCCTGAGTCGCGGGTGCCATGGACGCACACATAATCACATACAAACATCAAGACCCTTATAAGGTACAAACCCCCGGGTCATCGGAAGGCTTCACCGCCATAATAAAAGATGATAAATGTATCTGCACGAATAGTTATGTACTCAAATTAAATTACTATACAACTAGTTGTACTCGACATGCATTGCAATGGCATTGAAAACGTGTGAAATGGAACGCATAGACAAACTTTCTTGGTCAAACTATTCGAGGCACCCTGCATTTTCAATATTAAATATAGGGTATTTAATAAACTATGCTTAAACATTGTTTTATTGAGCAAAAACTATAATGAAATTTCGAAACTGCTGAATTAAACGTCATGTCCTTGTTGAACTGGGTACCGGATATCTTGATTTTGTTAAACCGGGGAAAACGCGAGAAAAACCGGGGCACTCATAGCCCCGGTTTTCCTCGCGTTTTGTGTACGTTAAAAAAGTTTTCTTCGGTGATAACAATATTTTTGTATTCTATGCTCTCTGCCCCGCAGAGGTCCCAGGTTCGATCCCCGGGCCGGGAAAAATATTTGTATGGCCTACATTTATTTCTCTCGTGAGTTTGGGTGTAATTTGCGGTTGTCTATGTGTGTGTCCTAGACATCCGCAACGCATGGTTTCCCTAGTGCGGGGATACTATGAGTGTGTGAGAAAAAAATACCAAGATAACAGATAACTATGACTTTGAACCTTGTTTGTTATGTTAACAAAAGCAGTAGTCTGATTACTTCTAATTCATTTTTCCTGGAAAATGTTATTTCTGGAAAATGTCATTTCAGACTACTGATAGGCAACCCACTTCCACACTTACCGGCGAGCCGAAATTATGTCCGATCTCATGCGCCAATGTGACGTGGGACACAGCTGGCGGGACGTGCTTGCCATAGTTGAGCAGGGTCACTATACCTGTGTTCAGAGACTTCATGCTGCCTCGGTAGTGCTGTAAATAGAATTAATATTATGAATATTATGAACATCAAATAAAATTGTTGTGTTGTATGCATTAGCTAATTTTGACGACCTCGGTTCTTCAACACTTTGCACTGGGGACACTGTTTTAGGAAACATGACATCAGCTACAGTTTTCTAAAAAAAACTAGAAAGTTTTCTTTTGAATTATCATTGGCTTTCTTCATTCAAGAAAATTCCTTTTAAGTTAAGTTGACATAATATTATGATTATGCAATAGTAATCATTATACAAAGCTACGACTAAGTTACATTACGACAACTTCCGTGGTCGACTGGCATGCATACCGGTTTTCATAGCCATAGAGATCTAGAGTCCCGGGTTCGATCCCCAGCCGGGTAAATGTATAAAAAGTAACTTTTCTATATTGTCTCTGGTCTGGGTGTTTGCGGTACCGTCGTTGTTTCCGATTTCCATAACACAAGTGCTTTTAGTTACTTACTTTGGGATCAGAGCAACGTATGTCATGTTGTCTAATATACATTATTATTTATTTATTACGTTAAGAGGATGTCCTGGGTTCGATTATAACAGCTCCATAATTGCTCGTTATAATCTCAGTACAGAGTACTAAAGAAACCGACCTCAAAAGTACGTGGAATTACGTCTATTTGCCAAGTTTTATTGAAATATGGGGATATTTAGTTCGCCACTATACTACACTACTCAAAGTATATTGAGAGAAAAACGCCTTGAATTGTAGAATAGCAAAACCAACCATTAAAATAATTGCTCCTTAAGTAAAACTTAGGCGCTATTTGTAAAAATGAATGCGTGATCAGCCACTCTTAAAGGTGGATCATTTTCTTCAAAATGAAATGGGACCACTATGGAGGTACCCTCTTTCCAACAAAAAAGAATCATGAAAATCGGTTCACAAATACCAGAGTTATCGCGTAACATACATACAAAAAACAGTCCAATTGAGAACCTCCTCCATTTTTGAAGTCGGTTAAAAATAAGTGCAGCATAACAAAAACAATAACATTTTGCACTGGTAATTTAGGTGCGTTTTATCTGTTCTATGTACGCCAAGTTGTAACAACGAGCAAAAGTTTTTTCTATTTTTTTTTATATCAACGAGACAACAGAATAGCACTTACCCCGTTCTTCTCACAAACGCCACCTGCATTCTTAAGGTCACCGGTCCAAGCGAGGCCCAGGGTACCCATCTCGAAGTCGCGGTACGTGAACATGTACGCAAGGCAGAACGCGTCGTAATCCTCCTCTGTACAATAACATATAAATAAAAAAAAATTATAAACAACAATGTAAGGTCCGCCACATACAGTCGGAATTTGGAAACCATACAAATCACGGACTTATCACACATGTACTGTACTACTCCGTTCGAATACTTTTCCGATCGAAATTCCGTATGGTGGCTTGTGCATTTGGAATTCCGCACGGAAAAAGCCGTTCCGAATACAAGTCTTCCATACATTTTGTAGAGCCACAACACACAGTCATAAATTTCTTACGTATTTTCGCTACAAATGCTTCGTGTTTCTCAGCTGAGTCTAGTTATTCCGAACAGAAATAAACGTATGTATGTGACGTATATACGGAATCTTGAGTCGATACTCCGAAACTGAATTTCGAAACGGAATTTCGACTGTACGTGGCCGGCCTAACAACCCATTTAAATCCATAGACAAGACACTACGCATGTTAAACTCGAGATACTGGATTGAAAAATGTTACAGAGTTTACAAAATGGTATAACGTGTCTGTTAAGAGGAAGAATAGTAATTATAACTTTTTTTTATAAAAATAGAGCTGACCTCAAAAGTTTGTGGAATTACATCTGTTTGCCAAGTTTTATTGAATTCGGTTAACGGAAAGTGGGTCAAATCCAATAAACCGATATCATCCCCTTATTTTCCACTTGAAGGTGGAATGTACTACTGAGGTACCTCGTTACCAACAAAAAAGAAATCGTCATAATCGGTTCATAAATGTAGATAGTAATCGCGTGACATATACACAAAAAAAAAAAGAAAGAGAACCACAAATTACAGGTCATACACGAAAAACCGCCAATCATAACTTTACGCAGTTACAGTGTAATAAAAAAAGTGTAATCGCACTTTGGGACACAAGTGTGCACGGCACTAAAGAACTTTAGCCAGTAATAAAAAATTACTTCCACTTTTTATCTTGGCTTTCCACACCAAATAAGCTAAAGCAAAAAATGTTGGGAACAAACAATATCTTATTTATTTCTAACTAAAGCTGTTGGTTTAGTGTCGTGGATACTTTTACATCCCAATAGATATCATTTTGTTACACCTTCGGTGAAACAGTGACTTAACTTAGTAACAGTAGCGCTATTTCTTAAAGTTTATATAGGGAAGTACTGCCATCTTATACCTATTTCTGCCGCAAAGCAGTAATGTGAGTATGCGTTTCGGTTTCGAAGGGTACGGGTCCTGGTGAAATTACAGGCACATGGGATTTTTCGACTTATGTATGTTTTATTTAAAACTTATGTTGTAAATAAAAAAGAACTTATATTTAAAGAGCGCCTTTAAAGAGCTCTTATATGTTATACGATTTCACTAATCACCGTGTGTAGTCCAAGTAGAAGATGTAGAGGATATCGACGAGCTCGTTAATTTAAAGACGATTTATAGTGGACTGTAATATATTGGCAATAGGTAGCTAGTTTATAGAAGTACCTAGTGTGATTAATCGTTAAACAGTGGTGGTGTCTCATGAACTTACAAAAATTCGTTAAATTTATGTGTGGTAGGGATAAAATAACATAGAACTACGTAATGTGCCCTTGACGAGAGTTTTATTACTGCTTCGAAAATTACATTAAACGAAATAAAACAAATCTGTTGCGTTCGCAACATTGTGCCCTCTATGTGTCTAAGTTTTTAATGGACGTCAAAAAAAGGAGGAGGTTTTAAATTCGACTGTATGTTTTTTTTATATGTATATTACGCGGTAACACGGGATTTGTGAATCGATTTCTTTATTTTTCAGTAGTGGTCCCATTTAAATTTGAAGAAAATATTGTGGGTGGCTAACTAGGGGATGAATCTAGTTTCGCGCTCTTTCCGGTGACCCATTTCAATAAAACTTGGCAAATAGATGTAATTCTACGAAATTTTGAGGTCGGTTTTTTAGTTCTCTGTACTGAGATTATTCAGTATAAATATCATTGACTTACAAATAAATGGACGACGGGTCTAATACAAAAACCACGAAAAAAATGTCCCAAGTCAACCTATTTAAACGTAGTGACATGTAAAGGAATATGAAAAAGCTAAAACGTTGAATTTAAATTGTAATGTCATCGCAGTACTGTCTAATTTTGCTTGCTTCGCTGTCAGTCGAACAAACGAAGACTAAAGCGTGAATGACGCTCTGTATACGATTTTAACGCCCTATAAGTTCGGATACTTTTTAGCGTGGACCCGACGTCCATATAATTGTAAGTCAATGATAAATATACATATTTTTTTGCAGTTAAGTCTGTGTGTCATCGAAGGCGTGACATCTAAAAGTGTTGTATCACGCGCAATAAGTACTGAGCATTGTCCGAAACTGTTGTACGCGCTCCGCGCGTTTAGAAAATCCACCTCTATATTTTTGATATATCGGTCTAGCCAATGGCGCCCAGGTGCGCAATTTTACATGAATTATTTACCGATGCAGGAAGGCTATTTAAAAAACTAAAGATATTAAGATTTTTATTGAATTGATATTTAATATTTTTTTAATGTGAACTTACTCCACTAGTTTGTTATAATTGTTGATCGAAGAATCAGAAAAAAATGGAAACGACGTCTTCTAGCATACCGTGCCAGAAGCTATACCAACTAAACCATGGAACGAACCAGTGGACCTCACGAATTTTTCTGTGTTTTTTATCGGGTTTTAGTATCTGGGTTTTCATCGACTTTTTGGCCGTAGCGCTATCTATGAGAAATCTTAAGTATTTCGTCACCCAGTTAGATACCTTTACAGCTACCAGCCCTGGCTAGAGATGACGCTATTGCATTTAAAGATATTACATTTTTTCAAAAAGTTTAATAAGACTGACTTAACTCTACAACTACTTCACGGATATTGTAGAGTTAAATTTCACCATTTAATTTTTCTTGTAGAAAAAAAGAAATTTCAAGTACAAACCTGAGAAAAGCTCCAAGTACTTCTCAACGCCATAGTTGTTTGGAAACCTGTAGGCAGGATCCTTTAGCGCATCCAGCGTATGCACTTTTATGCGCTTGATCATGAACGTTATGTTGTCCGCCTTGCCGTCTTGATTGAAGTCTGAAATATCAACCACAACATTTATTGTTATTTGTCAAGTCATATAAAAGAGTTAAGCTGCTAACAGATTGACTGCAAGTTTGCAGTTGATGCGTGAAGTCGTAATCAACTTCATGGGCCACGGCAGCGTGAAGTTGATAAGACTTCACTCATTGACTGCATGCAGTCGAGGTCTCGGATTGCATGCAGTTAATGCATGAAGTCGTTGTATATTTCAAAACTTTTGAATCTGCTCAAAAACGGGTTCCGCACAGCGATAGCTATTAGTTCAAACTAATATTATAAATGCAAAAGTAACTCTGTCTATCTGTTACGTTTTTACGTCGAAAATAAATTCTAAACGGGATGGAACAGGTGATGAAAGTTTGTATGGAAAACCAATAAAACTGAAAATTATAGTAGACTACTCGAAGTACGCCAAAAGAACATCAAGCAATACACTATTGTTAGAATGTCGCCTCCAGTGCAAAGTAACAAATCCGTCAATGTGTAGCTTGATGTGCTACTGTCTGTACTTATTCTACTAGCAAGTTCTTACATAATAAAGATAATAAGAAATTCTTCAATTGCCTTAGTTATAAATCCCACATTTTTCTTGCCTCACATTATTATTTCGAGCTTTGTTTCCAACAGTTACAAAAAGGAAATATTATTATAATAGCACATTAAGTCACATTATTGTATCATTTTTTGTTTGTTTTCTATTTTTATTCCTTTTTTACTATCAAGACATGGTAATAAAACCGGTGTACTATTGTACTAAGCAAAGCTGGTTTTTGTTACATCGTTGGCAGCCTAGATTTATGTTTTCTTTGAGTAAATAAAAACAGACTTGATTAATTAGCTGAAAATCCCCTACGTACGCAATACAACTGTACTTTCTATACAGAACTCTAAGGGTGAGTACAGATCTGGCGAATGCATCGCGAACGCGCTGCACGCGTGCTGCGTGCGTGCAATAAATGCATGTTAATACATGTGACGCGCGAGTGGCGAACAGATCACGCAATGTAATGCACATGTGCAGCCCGCGAGCCTTTCGGAAACAGGCACGCATTTGCTACGCACCCTAAGAAGTAGGTACAGTCGACGCTCTAAGATCCCTGACCCCTTAGTGAACTTTTGGTTCTGAGAGCCTTCATAAGCATTAAAAGTGTAAAGTCATTCCAGCTTTTTGATGGAAGTTTGTATTTATGTAATATAATTAAAGATCAAAACTAGCTTAAAAAGTGTCTCAATACGTCATTCACTAATACTGCAATACGGAAGTCATATCAAAATGAATGTCACTGTTCGCAGGTTAAAGGTTAAATTTGTATAACACCTTTCTTCATACTAGGGATGCACTTTACGATTCGATTTTTATGAAGACCGATTGAGTGTATAGGACCTATCGATTTAGAATCGATTAATTTCATAGGGATTTTAAAAAGTCTGGATTGTAGGTATTCACAATTTGAATCCGAATCGTAAGTTATTTATATTTTATATTGGTCTGCAATAATAATATTGGTTTAATAAAATATAGCTAATTCTGTGCTACAAGAACGTCTGTTTTTACTGGCATATCACTCTAAGTGAAAGGCGTAACCGACTAATTCCGGAAAGGCTGGCAAAATTATTATTTTAAAAAGTATGAATACAAGGATTGGCATTTATGAAAGGCTTAAAAGTGAAAAAATATTTTTGCATTATTATGGCAATTAAATCACATTATTACAAACACAATTTTTTTATCCATTTGTATGAGATCGATTCAAAAGCATATTTATGATGCGACCTGTGAATCAATTTAAAGGTATGATCCATTACGATCCAAAAAATCGATTCAAAGCAGAAAATCTTGTATTACTACTTCACACTTATCTACTCAGAACCAAACAGTCAATACAACGAAATACGATAACTACGTGTCTGCATCCCAACGAAGCCCATATGTATTACATAATGTTAGTTTTAGGATAGGACGTTTCGGATTAAGGACTTATGTCAAATCACGATTTTCGTACGCGTCGCGTGGTAGACTTCCTGGTATATTAGGGCATCGATTGTACATCTTTCATTTAATGTCAGTCGGTAATAAATAACTACCAACCAATGTTAACAAAGGCATCTTTATCAATACTGGCATGTCCAGGCCCTATTACATTAGCTTAATCACGCAATTACCTAATGATAGTACGTGTACAACACATAACATTTCCTAGAAGTAGTATAAAACCGAAAATGGATATTTATTTGAGGAGTTGTCTCGCTGAAGCACCTAAATTTACTTATGATATGTAGCTGAATGAAAAGCTTTCATATTTTGTCATTTAGTGTTTATTTGCCAATATTTTTTTGGAAATATTTGAAAGAGGAGGAAGTTTCAATGATTTGGTCATGTAGAATAAATAAATGTTGGTAGATTGACGGCACAAATGCTGTAACAAATGTGCACAAATACACAAATAGAGCGAATGTGGATGGAGGCGTGGGGAGAGATAGTCTTCGGCAGCGTGCATATCAGATTGAGGATGACGTTAAAAAGGTCGAGTTAAAAGTATACCAAGAATAAACAGAAATTTATGAAGACTGATGAAAGTGGAGGAGGCGAAGGAGATTTGTCGGGAGCGTAGCAGGTGGAGGTCCATGATCTCTGACTACACCGGTGGGAGACAGGCGTGATGATAATGTATGCAAGAATAATAATAACAATAGCAATAATAGCACACACACTCCTGGAGAAGCCCTGTATCGCGGGTTCCATGGACACACACATTAGACAACCACAAATTACACCCAAGAAATAAATGTAGGCCATACAAATATTTGTCCCGGTCCGGGAATTGAACCCGGGACCTCTGCGTGGCAGTCCAGCATGGTCACAGTGCGGCTACGGAGGCAGTGTTAGATGACGGTGACTCGTCACAATATATCATAAAAAAATCAACAAAATTATCATACATACCTGTAACTTTATAAATAGCATTAACTTTCTGCACATGTCGTGTCATGACTTCAATGCACGCCTCTTCGGACCCGTATCTCTGGTAAAACATGTGATCAGCCTGCAAATACACAAGACACGTAGTCTTCCTTGGGTCGACTGTTGCTCTTTTATTCACGTGTCTTCCGTCGTCTGTTCCATTTGCCGTTAGAATAGTGTAGCCCACAGGTTCCTTCTTAACAATGTCTTTGCTTACAGTCACCACTCCAGCTTTAGTCTTAATCACTTCCACATGGGTCTTTGGCTTCGGTCGTGATTCCTCGGAATCCAATCTCACTTTCGTAATAAGATTGCTTTTATCGATTTTCGTTTTCGGCTTTCTAGTACTGAACTTGTCAAACGGATCATTATTGTTCGTATACGGGACGTCTAAATCTAATGGCAGCTCAGGATTTTTCTTGGGCTCGTCGTCTTGCATTTGGTCTTCAGGAAGCCATCTTTTCTTTCTTCTGTTTATTTCTTTCGATAAATCTTCTGTGTTGTTATGTATAGATATTTCTTCTACGGTTTGATTTTGGTTAAAATTGAATAGTTCTCCTTTGGAGCCTAGGGTTCGTTTGAGGTGGAGGAGATGTGAGGCGCAAGGAGTATCTCCGTTATCTTGAGGGTTTTCCACGTCGGAACGGCGGTAGATGACGCTGTGCATGGAGGGATGTTTGACGTCATAGCGCGAGAGGGGCTCGATGTAGTACTCCTCTGTCGGCGTCCATATCGTGCCGTCGAAAAGACCTTCAGCTGTGATCACACCGTAGACATGAGAAACCTCGTCGTCTGAAAGCAAAAGAAAATGTTGTTAAACTTCAAAGAATATATGCGTTTGGGGGAAAAGATCGGACAAGAGAGATTTAAGTGGTATGCATACTGTTATGCTAGATCGGATACATAATTGTAAACGGCAGGCATAAGCTTGCGGCAATCTTGAGTAATAAATACTACGTTTTTCAGTACATTAGTAACAAACACAATTTTCGCTATTTCTGTTTTTTCCGTAAAATGTAATTTTTATAAGCCGCAAAATATTTGTCTCTCGGTTTATTAACCGACTTCAAAAAAAGGAGGTTATTAATTCGACTGTACTTTTTTGTATGTGTTAGGCGATAACTCCGTGAATTTTTGAGTGAGCTTTTGTGAATCGATTTTGATGATTCTTTTTGTTGGAAAGAGGGTACGTGAGTATTGGTCCCATTTAAAACTGAAGAAAATATTCCACCTCTAAGGTGATGAACGACTTTTGTGGTTGGATTTTTTAGTATTCTGTACTGTCTTTTGCAATTTGCGTATTTCTTGAAAACGTCGAGCGAAATGAATTCTATAATAATGCTGAACTCACTACTTCAATTTACATAAGTATGTGTATTATATAATCTCAGTACAGAGTACTAAAAAACCGATCTCAAAAGTTAGTAGAATAGGATATATTTGCCAAGTTCTATTGAAATCGGTTATCAGAAAGTGCACGAAACCGCGAAAAAAAATACATTGAAGTCGGTTAAAAAATAAATAACAGTATTTTGTAATTATTTTATGAAAATGTCGGTTTTTTTTATAATTACGTATTTACAAGGGTTTGTCCATAATTTATACACCAACTGACGGAGACTCGAACATAACCTCTATCATTTTTTAACTTACATTTTTGCTAAAAATCTATCGTCAAAAAAAGGCAATTTAATTTAGGGTTAGGTGAGGTAAGAGGTATACCGGGGGAAGAGGGACTTGAAGCCTTAAGTTTAGTACAATAAATTCTCAGTCGATAAAACAGACAAACAAATTAGTTTAAACGATTTTAAAGAGATGTCGCTACGATGCTTCAACTTCACAGACCACATAAATTCAGTGTCCAAATTCAAAAGGCGGAAAAACAAATTTGACAGTAAAATCTTGAGAACACGAGGTATGCGTGACCATTAATTTCCCCTCAGAGCGGGACGATTATTGTTTTAAAAATAAAATACATGTTTACGACAGTTACGAAATGTTTAACGATTAAATTATTTTTAAAAAGAACTTAAAATGTTTAATGATCAAAAATTTAAAAAAAAAAACTAGTCTTGTGTGGTCTGATAGGCTAGTTTTATATATTTTTAGGGATGAGCAAATTTTCTTTAATACGTGAGGTTTAGATTTCAAATGTAATAATAATAATAACGCAAACACTCAACATAGCCCCGCACTAGGGAAACCCTGTGTCGCGGGTGCCATGGACACACATATAGACAACCACAAATTACACCCAAACTCACGAGATAAATAAATGTAGGCCATACAAATATTTGTCCCGGCCCGGGAATCGAACCTGGGTGCTCTGCGTGGCAGTCCGGCATGGTAACCGTTCGGCCACGGAGGCAGTTTAATGTATTTCAAATGCAGTCGCTGCCAACCGCACATCATCGCCAAAAACAAAGCACGCACAGTATGGACGCACGACTCAAAATACCGAGCTTACTTGATGCTCCAATATATTAAATTTATTTTCACGTGTCATTTTTGTCAAAGCGGGACGTATGGTCACGTTTATAATACTATTACCTATTACCCCATCTTTTGAGGGAAATTATTCTATATTAGCGTAATTTGTACGTCTTCGGCATATACATCGTAAATATTGAATTTATCTCAGTGATTGTTAAAACATGTAAAGCTGATAAACTAAGGCAAGTTTAGTGTACTCTAAAATTCTATTTATTTCTATTTCCTTAATGGCGGCCACTAGGCTTGGGCCAGTGTCAGTTTCGATTAATATTGTCAGTTAATATTGTTCAATAATGTCAACGTCTCGGCAGCAGCAAGGTATTTATTTTTAGATGACTCTTCAACGGAATGCTGTTGTGGAGATCATACCTGGGGTAAAAAAACAATCATAGACAAACAACGGACTAAAGCATTATATTAGGGGTTAAAGTATGAAATTGCCGTTTTATTGCAATAGGTTCTTTGAATTTTCATAGAATCTTCATGGTTTGAGGTTTTCGAATGAAACTTTTTTCAAATGGTTCTGTGATTTTTTTTTTAAATTTGAAACATTTGAATATCGACTTTCAATTGTTTTTGTTATTCAATTTAGACAAGAAAGATGGATACTGCGAAAATTCGAGTGATTTTTGAATACGAGTTCCGACGCGGAACTAACGCGGCAGAAACAGCCCGCAATATCAATGCTGCGTTTGGAGAGGGGTCTACTAATGAACGCACCGTGCGATTTTGGTTTAAACGGTTTCGTGATGGAAATTTCGACTTAAAGAACGAGCCACGAGGAAGACCGCCCACACAGGTGAATAACGATGAATTAAGAGAGATAGTGGAAGCCGATCCTAGTCAAACTACCCAGGAATTAGCGGCATGGTTTAACGTTACCTTACCCACAATATTGACTCACTTGCGTCAAATCAATAAAATAAAAAAATACGAAAAATGGGTGCATCATGATTTGACTGATCTGCAGAAAGAAACGCGTGTTGAAACTTGTGTTGCCTTGTTGAACCGGTACAGAAATGAAGGAATATTGGATCGAATTGTAACATGTGATGAAAAGTGGATTCTTTATGATAACCGGAAAAGAAAAATGCAATGGCTGACCCCAGGTCAAATGCCACAACAGTGTCTTAAAGCAAAACTTACCAATAAAAAGGTAATGGTAACTGTTTGGTGGTCTCAGCATGGTGTTATTCACTATAGTTTTCTCCGATCTGGTCAAGCAATAACGGCAGATGTCTATTGTGCCGAACTCCGAACCATGTTGACAAAACTAGCAGTAAAACAGCCCCAACTCATGAATCGATCTTCACCATTATTGCTCCACGACAACGCGAGACCTCACACAGCACGAGAAACCATTTTGACCCTTCAGGAACTGCAGTTAGAAACCATTCGTCATCCTCCGTATTCACCAGACCTTGCTCCAACGGACTACCATTTTTATCGTGATTTGGACAATTATCTACGTGACAAGAAGTTTTCTTCCCAGGAGGCAGTACAAAATGCTTTCACACAGTTTGTGCAGTCTAGATCGTCGGAGTTCTATCGCAAAGGCATTAATAACCTTCCCATTAGATGGCAGCAATGTATAGATAATAATGGCAACTATTTTGATTAAATAAATTTGTTAAAAATTTAAAAAATAAACAATTTAGATTTTCAGTACAAATCGGCAATTTCATACTTTAACCCCCATTGACTTACAAATAAATGGACGACGGGTCTAATACAAAAACCACGAAAAAAATGTCCCAAGTCAACCTATTCGAAATTTAAATTGTAATGTCATCGCAGTATCGCGCTGTCAGTAGAACAAATGAAGACTAAAGCGGAGTGTCGCGCTCTGTATACGATTTTAGCGCCTTACAAGTGCGGACACTTTTTAGCGCGGACCCGACGTCCATATAATTGTAAGTCAATGTTAACCCCTATTATTATTAGAGCCATTGACTTACAATTATATTAGAGCGTATAAAATCACACAAAATGTTAATAAAGGGTGAGCACACATAAAGAAGGAGGGATTTAAGGTTAACAGGACGAGGAATGGAAGAAGGAAGGAGGTCATACAAGGAGGAAGTCAATTTAGGACATTTTAAGACTTTATCTGTTCTTAAATACAGTACGTTTCACGTACCTCCCACCTATATATGTATATATCAAATAATTTGCTTTTAAATATAAAAGTTATTAAATATCAAACATATTATTTGGTGTTAAACTTTTAAATTAGTATTTTTTAAGAATTTTTAAAGTTTTTATTGAAAGACACGATGTTTCACCATGATATTCAATGATTTTTGTGAATTTACTACTTTGATATAATTATTAATATAAAGATGAATGAAGACGACTACTAAGAAAAAATTCCTTCGATCCGGCTGCATGTGCTAGACGGTATGCCAACGAAGCCTCGGAACGAAACAACGGACGTTACGAATTTTTCGTCTTGCAGTTTTTTGGTTTTTGGCATTGACTTACAAATAAATGGACGACGGGTCTAATACAAAAACCACGAAAAAAATGTCCCAAGTCAACCTATTCGAAATTTAAATTGTTATGTCATCGCAGTATCGCGCTGTCCGTAGAACAAATGAAGACTAAAGCGGAGTGTCGCGCTCTGTATACGATTTTAGCGCCTTACAAGTGCGGACACTTTTTAGCGCGGACCCGACGTCCATATAATTGTAAGTCAATGGTTTTTGGTGACTTTTTGTCGTAGCGTCATCAGTGAGAAATCTATTTCTTCACTTCTCCAGGTACCTTTACAGCTGCCAGCGATTAAATAAGTATTTTAGAAATTTGAAAACAGAATACCATTTTCCGCAAGCTTCACTGCCATAGAATTTTAGTAGCAATAGAGCTTCTTGTGAAAGAGTTCGTCCAGGGTAGTAATGACAGCATTACTGTGTTCCGGTTTTGAAGGGTAAGGGTGCTGGTGAAATTACATGCACAAGGGACTTGTCAACTTCTGTCTCAGGGTGACTCGCGCAGTGTCCTCAGATCTTTGCGATTTAGAACTCTGAATGGCATTGAAACTGTTATGGATAGGCAAGTAGCTTGCCATCAGGGGGTCTACTCTCGTTGTCCGTCCGAAAAAATAGCCGTCAAATAAGTAATATTCGACCAAATTAAAAGACAACGTCAAGTATGAAGCTTCACTCGCATCATGCGTCTTTTAATTTGGTCGACTATTATTTATTTGACAGTTATTTTTTCGGACGGATGTCGGACGGACAATGAGAGTAGACCCCAGACACGACTTGCTCGTCCCGTCACTTGGTGTTATAAAAAAA